TTTATAGTAATCATGATTCCCCATTACATTGCTCTGAAGCCTTATAATGTCTCTCATTCATTAGCTGGAATGGTTTGTTTGATTTTGTTATCTGTGATAGTATAAACAGCTATTTTAAAGAAGACATTAGAATAGCCAGAGCTGATTTAGTATCATCTTACTCTGAAGTCCTAGTACGCTTTTGTTTTCCTGTTGCCTTTGATTCTATCCTGTTATGTTATTGGATATTATTATGTGTGAAAGTATAAACAAATTTTCTATGGAAAATCAGGTAATACAGTAGCCATTGTTCATTCTCTATTTGGTTCTGAAAGCCTTGTAATGCTTTCGTTCTCTTGAATGGTTTATACTGTTTTGTTATGCTTGATACTATTGTATATGAAGCTATGCTCAACTATTTCAAAGAAAGAGATATTATGGTAGTTACTGTTAATTATGAGTTGTCTTTGGTAGTTACTTGCATTGTTCTGATCTGATCTGCTTTGTTATGTCCTCTTTTGTCTTAATCTCTTTAAAATAAAAAATTTTTAAAAGTCTAACTATATGCTGCCTGCCAGAAACATATCTCATCCATAAAACACTAAAAATGAAAAGATGGAAAATGACACTCCATGCAACCAGAGCCCTAAAACAAGCAGGAATAGCTATTTTAATTTCTACAAATGACTTCAAACCAAAACTGTAAAAAGAAACTAAGTAGTTGCTATATATTGGTAAAGGGAATAATCTACAAAGAAGAGATGACAATTGAAAAAAATACATATACACACATCAAATGTTGGTACAATTTCATAAAGCAACAACTACTTGACACAAATGAACACACAATATAATCATACTAGGGGACCTTAATATACCACTCTCACAAACACGTCAATCAGACAACTTCACAAAGAAAATTCAGAGTTTAAATCTCTTCATCTAAAAATGAACATAATAGTTATCTACAGAGTGCTTCATCCAACAACAGCAGAATGTACATTCTTCTCAGCAGCCTACAGAACTTTCTTCAAAATAGGCTATATTTTAGGCCATAAAGCACACATCAATAGGTAGAAAAAAAACTGAATAATCTTTTGCATGCTCCCATATCACATTAAAATGAATTTAGAAATCAACAGCAATAAAACACTAAAAGTACACAAACACATGGAGATTATGTAATATTTTCTTGAACAATCAATGGTTCACAGGAAGTCAAAAAAACATTTAAAATTTTATACTAAAATGACAATGGGAATACAATTTACCAGAATTTGTGGGACACAAAAACAATCCTAACAAAAAAGTTTATACTTGTGAGTGCCTACATTAGAAAAACATCACAGTCCAAAATAAATAAGTAAGGATGCATCCAAGGTCCTAGAAAAATAAGACCAATACAAACAAGATCCTGTAAAAGGAAAGAAATTGTAAAGATCATAGTGGAAATCAATGAAACTGAAACTAATAAAATATGAAAGATCAGTGCATCAAAGAGCTTGTTCCCTGAAAAGATAAGACTGATAAACCCCGCATCTAAACTTACCCAAAGAAAGCAAGAAAAGACCCTTACTAATGCAATTAGAAATGGCAAAATGGCAACAGACACTACTGAAATCCAGTGGACTCTAAGACACTGTTTTGAATACATATTTCATAACCTGGAGAATCTGGAAGAAATGGATAAATTCCTAGCCATAAATCAATTACCTAAACTGAACCAAGAAAACATAAAACCCAGAGAGACAATGAAATTAATGCAGCAAGTAAAAACTCTATCAACTAAAAAAGTCCAGGACTTGATGGATTCATCATTGAATTTTATCAGAGCTTCATAGAACTAATGCCAATACTCATCAAACTATTCCACAAAACTGAGAGTGAAGAAGTGTTGCCAAACTCACTGCTTGAAGCCAGCATTACCTTGATTCCAAAACCAGACAAGACACAACAAAAACCCTACCAGCTGGTATCCTTGATAAGCAGAGATGCAAATCCCTCAGCATGATACCTGCAACCAGGTCAGATTCAACATAGGGATATAAGTACGGTAAAATACACATAAATTAATAGCTGTAATACACCACATAAATAGAAGGATAAAAATCATATGATCATTTCTATAGAAAATGTATGACAAAACCCAGAAATAGGAATACAAAGACCTTATCTCAAACTGATAAAAGCCATTCATGACAAACCCAGAGACTGAGACAAAAGGCAGAAGGATCGATGTGTTTTGAGACCAGCCTGGGCTGCAGAGTGAGAGACTGTCTCAAAAGGACCAAAAAAAAAAAAAAAAAAAAAAAAAAATGCTGGTGAAGATATGCAGAAAAGCGCTTCCACATCGTTGATGGGAATGTATACTAGTACAACCACCATGTCAGAATACATTGCTCTAAAAATAAAAAATAGTAATCCCACCTGGCTCAACTATACCTCTCCTGGGTATACCTCCTGAAACAGATAAAAGTTATACTTTTGATATACCCAAACCTATACAGTACAATTCACAACAGCTAAACTAAACAGCCTATGTACCCATCAGCAGATATATGAATCCACACAAAGAATGTAAATATTATGTGCTGCAAACATTTACTAATGTATTTTTTAAAAAAGCCACTATTCAAAAAAAAGAAGAAAATGTAGTATGTATGCTCAAAAATATAATCAGCCATAAAGTAGGGTTAACTCAAGCATTTATAGGAAAATGAATGGATCCTGAAACTATAATATTATGTGAAGTAAAATATCACAAGGCTTCTTGTATGCAAAACTCAAAATTAAAAGGTAAAATAAAAGAAAAACAATAGCAAACAGATAGGTAGACATTTTGGAGATGGGGAAGGTAATCGAGAGAAACAGTAGGAAGAAAGGGTTCAAAAATAATCAACATGTAATATAAACACATATAACCCAAAACAAATGTAATTCTTATGCACTGCAAACATCCACTAATAAAAAAAGTTTTTAATGAAAAATTAACAACACTAAACTGTATCACATAAAATTCATCCCAAGTATGAATATTTTATAAATATTTTATATACATTTTAAAATTATAATCATGATACACAAATATGATAATTTATATATAATATATAGTCATGTATTAAGAAGAGAGTGTAAACCGGGCGTGGTGGCCTATAATCCCAGCACTCAGAAGGCTGATGCAGGCGGATCACTGCAAATTCAAAACCAGCCGGGGCTACAAAGTGAGTGCAAGGCCAGCCTGAACCACATAGTGAGATCCTGTCTCAAACAGACAAAAAAAGGGAGTATACGCACAAAAGTCCACTGCCACACACAGAGAAAAAAACTATACAAAGCAGATAATGCCACAGAATCTGTAATAAAATCAATAATGTTTCCCTAATCTAACTCTCTTCCTCCATACCCTTAATCCAAACTTTTATTTGAGTTAAAGAATATTATTGATCCAGGCACCCTGTAATCTCAGCACTTGGGAGGCTGAGGCAGGAGGATCAGCTTAAATTCAAGGCCAGTCTACATTACACAGTGAGTTCAAGGCCAGCCTAGACTACATAGGGAAACTCTGTCTCAAAGAACAAATAAATAAACAAACCTAAAAAAGAATAAGGTCAATACAAATACAAAACCACACAAATGAATACTAAATAGATTCATTATTTTTCAGAATTTAAAGAAATAGCCAATCTGTCCCAAATTAATCTAAATTTCCTTATTGTGCATTATTTAAAAGTTAAAAATTCTCTGTATATAAGGAAGCAATACTGAGAATTTTTAAATGAAGCCTTCCAAATCAGCCAATAAGAACTACTGAAATCTGTTCAATTAAGGGACTTCCATCTAATCAGTTAAGGAAATTAAAGCTCTTGGATAGATTCAGTAAGAGCTGGTCATGTGAAATACAAGAAAGACAAACAGAAAAGGATAATCAAAAGCAATAATGCTAGAAAGAGTGAGTTACTACACTTATATAAAGCAATAAACATAAAATTAACTTTGTTCAGTAGCTTATCAAAGAATATTAAAAATACTAAACTGTTCTTGCACATATAATCAGCCCATATTCATCTAGGATAGTGAAAACAATATGCAACTAAGGGGAAAATGTATGTGTGCATGCTTTTATGTGCACACATGTATGTGAGACATTAACTATCGAAACAGAGACTGAAAAGAGGAATTTTGTTCAGTCATTCAACATGCCCTTACAAAAACTTCTGCATATGTTCACTGACATTCTGACAAATAACATAGAAAATAGAAAAGAAACTCTGCATTCCCAGGGAGGAACACTAAAGTCTTTAACTATGAAGGATACACATAACTAGCAAAACTATAATATGAGGGGGTAAAAAATTTGAAAATTTCTGATGTGGAATTTGAAAACACTAGAGGTCTAATGCAGACCTTAAAAGAAAATGATGACTAGCAATAGAAAGGAAAAAAGGTCTATGTAAAGAGAACTGCAAATACATATGATGAAGTGGGCAACAACAGAGGACCTTAAATACCAACTGACAAAGCTAAGTTTATTCTATAGACCAGTAGCTCTTAACTCTGGCTGCCATTAATTCTAAGTAACTCTAAATGTGCAACCAGGGTTTCAGAATCACTATAAAGAGTACAGAAGCAATGAAGGCTTTCATGCAGGAAACACAATTTAAAAATTTTTTAAATGCTTTCACTGGCACAATGAGAACAAACAGAAAAAAGACAAAACTCATGATAGTAGGTTAATTATATTTCTAAATACTGCCTTCATTTTTTGTTATCATGTGAACTTTAGAAAGGACTGGTGAGCAATGAGAACCAAATAACTCGTTTTCTTTTGCATCTAGTTTAGTATCAGTTAAAAGGATGGGTCGGGGGAATGGCACTGGCAAAACAACAAAAATTCTGTCTCTCTTCACAAGGCAATCAAAATTTTTATTAATATTTCTGTCAATTATTTGTAAGTTACATAATATTTAAATTCTCATATATAGTTCACAGAATGGAAAACAAAAGAATGTCAAAGCACTTACCTGGATTCATTATTTCTCTTTATAGTCTCTAAAAACAATGTTGAAAAACTTTTTTTAGCTTGTGATTTAATTTCATATTCTGTATCTTGTAGTCTTTTTGAAGATGTTTCTGATACTTTCTTTTCTTCTTGTCCTAATATTTTATTCTCTACTTTTGACTTGTCAGTTTCTCTCTCTACTTTTCTGAAAGTATCTTTATCTTCAAAGTTTAACCTAATAGGTTAAAAGAAAGGAAGTAAAATGCCCCTACATTTCTTACAAGTCTTCCTGAATTCCTTTAGTGACAATACAGACCACATAACAAGAATTTGCACTGGGCATTAGAAAAGTTAAATTATAAACCAAGAAAATCTGCGGCTTAAGGCGCCATATTTCCCAGAACACTGTAGCTGACTATACTTTGAATAGCAAAGTCTTAGAATATACTTAACTTGTTGGCTCCAGAAATAAAACAATACTGTAGACAGAAATTATACTCATTACAAAGGTTTCTATTAACAAAGGACCTTGAACAATCTATTGTGCTTTCTGAAGGTCAAAGAGAAACTCCAAGAAGTGGTACAGTATTCACAACTCATTCTCAGTAGTACATCTGCCTCACTACCCTAGAAATGACATAATATTCTCTGCAGTTATAAACAAAATGAAGCAGACACAAATTTTTTTCCTTTAGGAACTTACAGTAACTTAGCAAACAAAAACAAAAAATATTTTTCCATAGACTAGAGAAAAGTTAACCCTCAATTTCTTTAAAGTATATTTTAAGGCCTTCATTATTAAACATAAATGAATACACAAAAGTCATTTTATTTTTCTCATAGCATATTAATATTCATTAATCCCTACTAAAAAACTAAATCTAAATGCTATACTACCGATTTTTAATATGAAAGTTGAAATGTTTAAAGCAATACTGTTATTATTTAAGTGAAAAGTTACCTTTTTCTGATTTTAAGAGAAATCTCTGTACCTGAAGACAGTATATTTCCAGAAGTGTGAGTTTCTCTCTTTTGGGCAGAAGAAATAGCATTTTGTGATTCAGATGGTTTTCCATGCAAAAGAACACTGGGCGAGCCAACTGATATGTAAAATTCTTCATCTGTTTCCGCACAAAGACCATTTGTTTTTTTATCTGACTTTTTTCCCAAGTCAGGTGTACTCTTAGAACCAACGTCAGCTTCTGGAACTTTCTGATTAATTTCATGAACCTGAACTAAAAGAAAATTACATGAAGACACTTATTAATTTAAAAGATAATGTTAAAACAAAGGGGTTTTTAAATTTAGCAAATTGTAAGTTCTTCTTAGTAAAAAAAGTGAAAAATTTATATGATCTGAAGAGAAACCGAAGTATGAGAAGTACTTTTTAGAAGACTCACAAGTCAGGAAGTTTAGAATCAAAAAGATCTGTGATAAAATATATATTTTAGAAGTTTTGCAACAACAAATCCTCGAACAGAAAAATCACAAGTTTATTGTAAAAAGTCTTGAGGCGTGAATAAATCTGTATACAATATAATGAAACAATCTAGAAAGGTCACAAGATTCTTCTACATTTACGCTAAGTTGCTGAGTAAGGCAGCTACATGAACACGTATTTGTATTACATATACAACATCATATACATACATATGTACTTATCAAAGTATATATGAACAGGATAAATATATTCTTTTCTCTTAATCTTCAACCTTCAAATGTTAAAGAAAAAACATCTTTGAGGATAACAATATACAACATAACCATTATTAAATTCCTATCTTGTTTTGAAATCAGTATCACCAGTTTTGTTGTTGTATCATTTTGCTTTTGTTATTTTTAATTGTTTGATTGATTTCTGTTTTTTTTTCTTTAAAATAAAAAAATCTTGCAGATGTTATAGAGAGGAAAAAAAAAAAGAAAAGAAAAAGAAGTGGCTAGGGAGTATTCCTAAAAAGCAGAGACTAGAAATCTAAAATACAACCACCAAAGGATTTTGGTTCTGGAATAAAATGGCCCAACTTCTCCCTCTAAGTACAACTAAATTCCTTACAAATTATCCATTGATCAACAGGCCAGGCATGGCGGTGCAAACTTGTAATCCCAGTACTCACAAGACTAAGCAAGAGGACTGCCACAAATTCAAAGCTGGCTTGGGGCTACACAGTGAATTTAAGACCAATCTTAACTACATAGTTTCACTCTGTCTGAACACCCCACTAACCACCACCACCACCACCACCAAAAAAAAAAAAACAAAACAAAAATCACAATTCAGGATTCTGAAAGGTAGAGAAAGAAGGTGGACTAGCAAGAAACTTCAGGATCAAGAACTACAATGTGGTTCTTTGGTTAAGTTTCTTGTTCATCTCCTATATATCCAAAGAATGGGCAACAGAGAAGTGGTGAACTTCCATCAAACAACTGGGCAACAGGGAAGACAACAGAAGAGGAAAAAGGCTCAGTAATCAGATATGGCAGGAGTGATGACCCACTGGCAGCTGCAGGAGAGAGAAATTCCTGTCCTTCCTAGCCCCTGCTTCACACCCCAAGTGTTGTTTTGACCCAGTGGTGCTAACAACACCTTTGGCCATTGGTGGTGGTGATCTTATGGCGTATGAGTCACTGTGTTTTTAAGACAAAAGATGTTAATGTATGAGTTGTTTTTTCTAAACTAAAACCTCAATATTCAGGTTTAATTGCAGGGTCAAAACTTTGCAATAAATAAGTGGGTTCTGGGTTGCAATTTGGCACTTGGGTCTTTAAAAAGTTCACCGTCACTGCCCTAAGCCATTCCAGTTCCAATTTTACAATCTGCTTTTTAGCAGTGTCTAAACTGAAGTAAGAAAAGCATAAGAGATCTGAGTGTCCTTGTGTCCCACACCCATAATACGAGACCCAGGCCCAGTAGTTTCTACCTGAACCCAAAACCGAGGGAACAAAGACATAAGGAGGCTCAAGAAACACCTTATTCCTCACTCAAGAAAGCACAGGAACTAAACTGGAATCAAAGCAGCATTAAAAAGCAAAGCAGACCACAATATCATTGCTAGAAACAGACTCCATATAAAGTTAGGGAAGAGCCGATACATTTAAAAAGATTTAAATATGACCAAGAATCTCCTAGCATAACAACCAAACTAACCAAAACACTATCAAATGATTTGCCATGTCAAACAATAGAAGACAGAAAAAAAAGCTAAACAGGCAAATATGAATGGTCGGTCATAAATGTACGGAATGACTCACATGTTGCAATTATTTTAAAAAAATTTAAAAACAAAATTATTTAACAGTCAATTATAACTTCTCTTAAATGAAAAAGAAAATCTCAAAGAAACAAGTTATAAGAAAGAACTAGTTTTAGATTTTATGTACTTTTTGATGTAATTTCTAAATGTTTTAATTTAAAACATCGTAATGACTGATACAGAGCAAATCAAAAACCACAATGAGCTGTATCTTCATGCTCATTAGAGTATAATTTTAAATAAAATAAAGCAAAACAAAAAAACTGTTGGTGATGACATAAAAAATTATCCCTGCAATTTCAACAGGAATATAAAATGGTACTATGGAAACAGTATGGCAGAGTCTTAAAAATATTAAAAAGACTTGACAACAGTGTCACTTGTGAAGCAGTTTTTCTAGTAACTATACCTGTGTAATAATATGCTACATCTATAGTATAGAGTTATAGAGTTATATAGTATAGGTATAGTTACAGTAACTCTGTAACTCCACAGCAATAACCACCATTTGCTATATTCATGGAGTTAGTGTATAGGAATAGGTAGGCAAAATATGGAATAAAATGGCCAGGAGGCCTACGTTAGGACCAAAGTCAGTCAAGACAACAGATCAGGTATTCACAAGTGCCCACGTGGGAGAAGGGAAAGATAGGAGTCCCCAATAAAAGGAGCCAGGAATAAGAACTCAAAGGATTTCCATTCTGAAGTCCTTACCACTTCCTGGTAGCTGTCTATTCTCTTTCTTTTCCATCTTTTTTCCTCCAAATAAATCATCTTTTGTGACACTGAATTTTACTTTTGTTTAGTTCTTTACTGGCACTGGGTTTGGAATTAATGGAAGCTGAGTTTTCAGATCAGTGGCATGGCATGGCATGGCATGGCATGCCATCAGGGACATAACACCTGGACGAAACAAACAGGCCACAAATCAAATCTGTGAAGGTGCAGGAGGGATGGCTTATGGCTATTCGAAGTCTTGAGGCCTGGAATCATGTGCAAGCTTCTATGACACCTAATGCTATCTGTAGGCTGGAGGCCTGTTTCTCTCCATGTGGGCTACTTTGGAACTCTTCACATTTTTGTAATAGGTTTCATTTTATTTTATTTTTTTATTTAAAGAGAGAAGAAAAAAACAATGCAGTAAAAGGTACAAATAATACAGTATTTCTGGAAAAAAATACACACAGTACGAAATCACCAGTTAACAGGCTACACATTATCTTCCCAGAAACAGTTGTCCATATCACTAAATTAAAGCATATAAAGTGAACATTCATCCAGTGGAATTGGAGACAGTTCCGTTCAATGATCCAACAAAAGCTCAGTTATATGGTTTTCCGTCCTACACTCTCGAACATACCTGCGGTTATATCCCTTAGTCCACCTTACTTTCCTCTCTTTTTTACAGTAACAATTAGACTTTTAGAGCTTTATTACTCTCACGGTTCTTATTACTTTTTTGAAGAGAATAAAAACAAATGTGACTAAACAAAACAGAGTCAGAACAGAAGGGTGGGCATAGCACCTGATGCAGAAATAGAATAGCAGGTGATCAAAAGTGGTTACCATTGTGCTTCTTGCTATTTTCAAAATGAGTTGTCTATATCATCAGGTACAATAGAATTGATCAAAACAATGTGGAACAAAACCAATAAAATCTACACTGAGGACCTTACAGGACTTCAAAAAAAAAAGAATCATAGTCAAACCATAATGGGCATCATAGTATATCTTATTGCCTTCAAAGTGATTGCCTATACCCTCAAACTTGATACTATCAAACAAAATAGAATATATAATAATCAGACAGAACAAGATGGGGAGAGCAATACAGGGGTTCAAGTCAGGTTAATAGGACAACAAAACAGTTACTATAATATGTCCCGTTATTCTTTAATTTAGTTTTCCCTTAATTAAAAAAATGAGAGAAAATAGATTAATTTAAAAATAGGGGGAAGATTGAGATGAGAGGATATTGTAATAGAACAATACAGGGCAGACCCGAGCAATTCAAGCATCATTGTGTTTCACCACCAGATAATCTAACATAATAGTAGTCACCATAGTGCCTCTTTCCTTAAAATGAGTGTAACTTTGTGTGCTATAATATCAAGCGTATCTAGACAGTGTGAAGCCTTTCAAGAGAATGCAAGAATTACAGGGTATTTAGAACCTACTAATAGAACACAAACAATGGTTTCTATATTATCTCTTTGCCTAATAAGGAGTTTTGTTTATACTATAGCATATAGTGAAATATAGTAAGATACAACATGTTAAAACCAGTGGGAACCGATGTACTACAGCTTTGATGGGACTTTAAAACAAGATGATATTAAATCAGCACTAGCTTTTATGTTGTGTTGCTTTCTTCAAAATAACTATTCGTGCTATCATACATACTAAAATCGAACAACCCAGGTTAAAACCATTGCAATTAATGAGTGAAAACATTATATGGCTTCAAACCAATATGATTGGGAATCATGATTACCACATACTTCTATGTATTCTTATCATTTCTTACACTAGGGAAACTATTTGGTATTTATACATGTGACTTCGATTTATGTCACTTATGAGTATGGTCTCAAGCTGCGTCCATTTAATTATAAATGTCTCGATGTGGTCATTCTTTATAGCTGAGTAGTACTCCATTGTATAAAAATACCACAATTTTTTTTATCCATTATTCAGTCGATGGACACTTAGGTTGTTTCCAAGATCTGGCTATTATAAATTGTGCTGCTATAAACACGGGTGCACATATATCACTGTGGTATGATACTTTCAGTTCTTCTGGGAATATGTCTAGAAGTGGAATAGCTGGGTCATATGGGGCTTCCAGTCCTAGTTTTCTGAGAAATCTCTAGACTGACCTCCACAATGGTTGCACTAGTCTACACTCCCATCAACAGAGGAGGAGAGTTCATTTTTCCCCACAGCCACTCCAGCATTTGTTGTTGTTGGTTTTCTTGATCTTG